ATGACTAATGAACCCATCCACTCCTACATTGAAAAATCAGTCAAAACATTAACAATGAACAAATTCAGTTTAAAACCAGACATACTGCATTATCATCCATCATAGAAACTGTTTCTCTCTGTCAATACTACATAGTACTACGGAACTTCGAGGTGCCAATAGCACTACCAGTTCCTACAGATCAAGAAATGGGGGTTCTAACAAGAACAAGTTTGTCGGGGTAAGGCAAAGGCCTTCGGGCAAATGGGTCGCGGAAATCAAGAACACAACTCAGAACATCAGAATGTGGCTTGGGACATTCGACACTGCTGAAGAGGCTGCTCAGGCTTATGATGAAGCTGCTTGCCTTCTTCGCGGTACAAATACGCGAACCAATTTCTTGAATAACGCCCCTTCCAATCCAGCCCTCTCTTTGAAAATCCGAAACCTTCTTAATCAAAAGAGAGGCCAAAATAAAACTAAAACCAAACCTCCTATTCTTGCTTCCACAAATAGTACTACCAGAAAAAATATTAATGTTGAAACCTGTCCAAAAACTATTTCTAGTCAATATAGTACTGATTCTCAAACAGTTTGTGTGGCCAATCCAGTCATTTTTGAGGATGCGTATAAGCCGGATTTGTGCTGTTTCCCCACTTCTTCTGATCCTTTTTTGATGGATTTTGATAAGATTAATCCATTTCGACAAGATGGTTTTGATGCACAAAAAAGAGTTGGTGAGACGGTGAATGATGAGCAATTTCCTGATTTTGAAGGTATGAAGGTCGAAAGAAAGATTTCAGCTTCACTTTATGCAATGAATGGAATAAGTGAATACTGGGATAACATCCATGATACAAATGATCCTTTGTGGGATATTTCCATGCTCTGCCAACCGTACTACCTAGATTAATGTTTTGAGATTTAACTTGTGATCTGATAATATTTTCGACAGTTTGTAGCAGAATTTTAGATTCTCCGAAAAAGTTATAGGACCGTGGAACATCCACCGTGTTTTCAGTTTCTACATTGAAGTATCAAGAATATTTTGTAACACTGAAAAAGCTTGATTTTTCTAAATGTCTTCAATATATGGGTTGCCATTTGAATGTGAAACTCCTTCTTTGCACCTAAAAACAGTTTCTAAAAGGTGAACGATTGATGCTTGTTTGATAGCACATGTTTTGTTATGTCAATGATGAGAGTGACTCAAGAATCTGGGGCATTCGATGAAATAAACGAATCTTTTGGACCGAAAAATAACAACGATGACAATAAATTTTTATTACTAATCATGTTTTGAGAACTAAGTGTCAATTCTTCAGTAAATTTTGGGATTATATATGAAAAAGTTGTTAAGATATCTCAAATTTTAGAAAGATGACGATAAGCTAACAATCTCGAGTAGAATGTGATATATTGAAACATAAGTTTATACAAGGCAGGTCGAACTCAATCTAATTGAACAACCCATCTTCTCATTGTGGTTGGAAAAAAGTGATATTTAACTTTCTCTATTGATTCTTGAACGATGAACAATATTTTATGTCAAACTAATAATGTTATTTCCATCCTAGGATGAAACCTAGGACTCTGTCCTAGTTAGTATGTAGCAAATCTTTAGTACATGTTGGTTTCCTTGATAACACATTTTAAAGCATTCCACGATGCTACAATCTTGATAAAACCATATTAACAATGCAATACAAACAATTAAGAATCATTAAGTGCACAACTTTAAACGTGTTTATCTTTTCATTACTAATTATATTACTATTGAATCTACATTAGACAAGATACTACATTCTTGATCAAATCAATATTAGCAATGCAATACAAACAATTAAGAATCCTTCAAACATGTTTATCGTTTAACTATTAATTACCAGATATAAATATTTATGGTTCAAAAATTCTTTCAATTTTTACCCAACCCACTGGCTTTACTTCATTGAAGTCCACGCATTACATAAATGACTATACTTGGACTTAGAGGACTATTGTTACGTGTTGTCATACTTGGCCAACCTACATGGGCCCCTATGACCCACTCAATCCAAACCACGTGGTGCTCTAGCCGAGGTGGTTTGTATGGCCGATACCCATATGCCAAGGCCCGTGAAGATAGCCGAAGTCCTAAAGCGAAAGTACTGCGTAAGTGGCAGAAGCCCCGAATCCGAAGTTGAAGCAGAAGCCTCCGAACCATGAAGGAACATCATCCATGATCACTTCTTCCAAGAGATCTTCTACGTAAAGATCTTGTTAGAATGATTGATGGAACATTTTTCATAAGTATACATGTCAAGTCTTGTCATTAGCATGGGGGTTCTGCATAAGCAATAAATGAGCAGCAAGCTAGCAAGTCAAGGATGATACCTAGGATTGGATGTTTGAATTAAAGAGATGAAGCCATGTGCCACCTCATCCAATGGCTGTCATTTCACATGTACTACTATAAATACTTCCCTTGTGTAACATTGAAGGACTAATGGAAGAATCAATACAAGAAACCACACTTTACTCTCTCTTTCATATTGCTTTACAACATAATACGAGTTCATACATATTTACATTCACATTCTTGAGCATCGATTGGTAATTATTGTACAATCGGATTACGAACATCCCGTCGGATTCCGAACGTTCTCGTCCCGCGTCGTTGAGCTACTGCCACGCCCCTGATTCTTTTGTCCTAGACCGTCCACGTGTCTTAGCATGTAGGACCTTCGCTCACGCGTGCGCGGGTGGGTTCGGCATCTGTTGGCAACATTTTTTGGGGTTAACAGATTGACGCTGTCTGTGGGAAACCATACCATAACCACGAACAATCTTGTGGTGAAAACTTATTGAAGAGCATTTGGACATTCCCCTTGAAAAGGATTTGTTCTTGAAAAAGAACAAGAGGAAGCCCCACAACTTAGCAAAATCTGAAGAATCAGACGAAAAGAAAATGAGTTCAAACGAAGACACACCTCCCAGGAGGGTAAGAGAAAACACGAATGTACCTCCTCCACAAGCTGTCCCAGCGGCTCGGCAAAGACTCCACCACCACCAAAGAAGAGGTGGATTGCGGGCGACAGCACGACTGTCAGGAGAAATGGCTGTCATGGCGGCCAACATGAGAGATATTGCTAGCCAAAACTTAGTTATGAGGGAGCTCATGGCTCAAATACAAGGCCAGGGAGGCTTCCTCATTCCTCCATACGCCCCTCAGGGGCACTATCAGTAAGAAGAAGAAATTCAAAGTCATAGAATTGCCTCGCCGGACTATAGCCGAGGTAGAAGCCCATTTGAAAGGGAAGTGAAAGTTGATGTTTCCTCCAACTACGCTTCTGGCTGACCCACCGAGATCCCACTGAACCATGATAACTTCCCACTTTCGTATGAGCAAGAGTCAAGACATAGGAGGGTAGGCAGTGTATTTGATAGAATTAGCCCCGCTGAACCAAGGCTTAGGCAACAGCAGACACACCAGCCTTGGACAAGGCCACCGCCTCCACCTTCAATGCCCCAGCAGCCGGAAGAAAGGCATGAAAATGTTCCCTGTGGGGCTCCACCTAGAAATAGGCGCTAGAGGAGGGAGGAAGAGACTAGGAATAGTCTCGGAACTTCTCACCATCAACCACGGCAAGAGGCCGAGGAATATGATTCAGATGAATAACAGAGGTCCTGTGACTTAGACAATGACAATGAGAATTTGCCATTCTCGAGGGAACTAAGGAGTGCCTAGGTTTCAAATCACTATGTGATACCAAAGATACCAAAGTATGACGGAAGAGGCGACCCAGAGAAGCACTTGAATGCTTATAAAACTCACATGAGCCTAAGGGGCGCCACCCCAGCTGTGAATTGCAGAGCTTTCCATTTGAAACTTAGTGGAGCAGCTGAAATTTGGTATAGCAGGTTACCACCTGGGAGCATAAGAAGCTGGCCCGAGTTCAAGACAACATTTTTGAAGAGGTTCGCGGTAAGCAAAGAAGGAGAGACCCCCATCCAACGTCTCCAAGACATGAGACAAGTACATGGGGAGTCCCTAAAGAGCTTCCTATCACGCTTCACCGATGATATGACGTATTGCGTGCAAGTCACTGATCGTGAGGCACTATCCGCATCAAGGGGAGGTCTGAACATGAATACCCTATTCTGGAGGGACGTGCAAAATCAAGATCCTACCACCTATGACGCCCTACATAAAATGATGAGGCGGGAAATCATCAATGAAGAATTGATTGAGCATAGAAACATGGAAAGTAGAGGCCTCCCGCCTCCTCAAAGACAGCGTGCTAGAGGGCCGACCTCCCACCTGATGGACTGCCAAATGAACCAGGGAGTTCTGGCCAAGCACTTGCCACCACCACTTTGAACGCGGTTCCTACCTTGGCATATGAGGATATTAACCCAATTACTGACACCCGGCAGACGAAAACCCCACAAGGATCCCGTAGGGGGAGAGGCCGAGGTTCGGGACCTAGAAATAGGTCAAATTAGAACCCACCGGGATACTGTGTACACCACTGTTCCTATGGACATGACACAGCGGATTGCCGAGACTATGCGCACCGTTCCCAGCTGGAATTCCCTAGGGACAAAAATGAATCGCCCCAGGCGAATAGGCCTCCGTCCAGGAACGACAACTGACGTGGGCGTGAGGAGGCTGCTCCTCGTCAAAGGGATGTTTCCCATGACGAAGGGAACGTGATACGGAGAGGCCCAGGGAAGGACGCAGACACTGAAGAAACTGACAAGCCCAGGATGAGGCCTCTATCCACGAGATAGATACCATATTTGGAGGCCCATATGTCGGCGATTATACACGAAACGCCAAAAGGAATTACGCCCGGGAGGCTAAACACCCCCCTTTGGCAAGCTATATCGTGGACAGCAGCTCCTGGATGAACCAAGTTCCACCCATTGTCTTCACCTAGGAGGGCACTGAAGGAGTTCACTACCCCCACTGCGATGCACTTGTTGTGAGAGCCGTCATAGCCAAACATGGGCTCAAGCGAATGTTAGTTGACAATGGTAGCTCCGTCAACATCCTATTTGGATTCGCCTTTGACAAGATGATATTGGATCATCAGTTGACACCTACCACAACTCCTCTATACGGATTCACCAGAGATAGCATCACTCTAAGGGGAAGGATGACACTTACAGTGGAGATGGGAGAGTCTTCCCAAGCTACGATGAACTTCATGGAGTTCCTCATTGTCGACAGTCAATCGGCCTACCATGGAGTATTAGGTAGGCCAGCCCTTAAAGAATTGGGAGCAGTCACCTCCATCCACCACCTATGCATGAAATTCTCGAAGGAAAATGGGGTGGCAATGGTGAGAGGTGACCAAAGAGGATCGAGAGAGTGTTATCTAAGCTCCATCAAAAAGGTAGAGCCCCGAGATGTCCATGTAATCATAGCCGATGTAGTCATGGTTGACATCCCAGGTGATGCTCCCACTGAACCAGAAGATATCGATATGATTGATGCACCACCCAATCCGGAGGTATTGGTCATTGATGAGATCAATCCGCGCATAATTGAACATGAGCCTCAAACATCCCCAGTTGAGGAACTTGAGAGCTTCTCGGTAGACCCCCGAGACCCATCCAAGATGCTGAAAGTAGGCAAGGGCTTATCCAGAATTTTGAAAGAAAAGATTAAAGATTTCACCTGTCGTTGCTTGAAGGCATGAGGACATGGTAGGCATAGACTCCAAGGTCAGTTGCCACCATCTGAAAGTCGATCCTAAGGTTGCCCCACACAGACAAAAAAGGAGAGCCCTCAATCCTGAAAGGTACGAGGCTCTGAAGGAAGAGGTTCAGAAGCTCATCCAAAACGGCTTCATCAGGGAGACTACCTATCCGAGTTGGGTCTCCAACCCGGTATTAGCGACGAAACACAATGGCAAGTGGAGGGTGTCCATCGACTTCATTAACC